CTTCACTTAAAGTCCTCCAAAATCACTCGAGCAAGGATCATCAAGTCACTGGCGTCGTTGTGTTGACCCACAACGAGCACTAAATGAGGAGTGGGGCACGGAGGATATTGATTGAGCTTGATATAGCTTAGTATTATCCTTAAAGAAGCCATCCAATCAAGTTTTTGGCAAGCCTAAGTTCAAGGCAATTAGTTAGAGTAACTTGTAAGCTAGTTTTTCCATCTTGCTGCATATTATTCACAAGCCTCCCTGCAATAGGCAATTCACTTAAAAGTTTAAACACACAAATTATGTTATCACTACCAGACTAATAATGTTTTTCCAGTGCTATATATCTGGATTATTAAAAGTAATTCGGCACACTGAATTCCACTTTAACTGAAAGTTTAAGTGAATAGATAAAGGTCTATCATTTATTTACAGATATTTTCAACACAACACGTGGGGTCGGACTCTTTTTTTCTCCTTTTACAGTGTGTGTCATTGATACCATACAGGGGATGAAATCGCTACAATACGTACACATCAATGTGATTTTAACAGTGAAGATTCCTGAATATTTCTATGGAGTTCCATTGAATCTAAACATACCTTAGTTCTGGAAGATATTCAGGCCACTTGTTAATCAACTCTTTAAGCTCCTTATCCTCTGGCTCATGAGAAGATGGTAAAATTGTTGGACTCATTACAGTAACATCAAACACTTCTTCCAGTCCCCTGACATTTTTAGTATGCTCAGGATATGCTTCATCTCACTGACATTCTTATTCTCCTCTTCGACAAACAAAAGAATTTCCCAGCCGATAATTCTTCTGACGACATTTTAATGGTACCCCATGGTTGATCACCTGGAAAAACCTAGTTGTTGCGAGCATCAGCTATCTCAGCCACTAAATTTGGAAAAACTCAGCATCAGTATCGGGAATATTCAATGGAGAAAGATCGATTAATGGGATGCCTTCGGCTTCAGTAACGTCAAGTTTAGGCTAGTGTTCGAGGGGTAGGATGAAAGCAGGATTCACTTCTCCCATGGCTGAATTGTTTGAAGATACTTTGATAGTTTCTTTTCTAAGGTAACAGTGGAAATTAGGTTCACTGAATCGTGTATTACCAGCAATAATTTGTCAACTGTTAAATATACAGTGAACCTGGACACAATGCGCTGTTATGGAACCTATATCAAGTTATGTTGTCAGCTTACTTCTTGTAAATTTCTGAACCTGGGATCAGATCCTTTTATCTTTTAACTTCATTCCAGGGGCTATGTTCAATCATCCAGTGTTGGAAATACTCCTCTTTTTAAGATATTATGAAGACTCGACTTGCTGATCCATTTTTGTCACCAGACAACCTTATCTCCTGCAACATGTTATCTTCGTTTTAAACATTTGTTGGTCTCACTAACCTAGTTGCCTGTGTCCAATCTTGCAACAAATCGTCAGGCACCATAGCTGGAGCAAAATTCATCATTTAAAAAAAAAAAAACAATTTCATCTTACTGACCTAAACAAAAATATAAGTTACTTTATGGTCCAATTTAGTTTCACTTAAATCACAGAGAACACCTTGAAAAAGACAAAGTCCTAACATTTACAAAAACCTATGGAACAACGACAGAGAACGATAATGAACATCACAAGTTTCAACTGGTCTCTCTCCGTCTTCCATGAGCAAAATAACTGAGGCTTTGAACTTGAGCAGTTACATTTTTCTTATTGTAAATAATATTTATTTGTCTCACAAAACTAACATTATTTACAATTGCAAGTTGGTCGAGGTAAGTAATAGTACTATTGTTTTCAACCTGTCCCCAAAACTAATGTTTCTTTCATGTAAACTCTTTTTTCCTTGTCGTATTTATAGTTTTTTTAAGATAAAAGAAAAGTTGTTGGCATTTTTATTCAATTTATCTTCTTTCATACACAATAATTGTGTTGCAGATACAATTTTTTTTGATGAATTGGAACGAATTTGAGCTCCCCTGACAAATGAAATGGATGGATAAACACTTTACCAATTTATTGCATATATCGTATTTGTGTACAAGAAGAGTATAGTTGCACATTGCTATGTTCAAATGATCATTCCAGGATTCTGAAATTTTTATTTATTCACAGAAAAAAGTTAACAAAAGCGAGCGAAAGCTCTATTCGTAACTCATATTCATACGGGCACATGAACAGAAGTTAACTTCCTCAGAAGTTTATATCCTGAAATGATAAATTTGAATGTTTTCGACATCAAGTTTCTTGAAATTACTGAGCTTTCTGGTGACAAAAAACTTTCC